TATGTGCTGTTATATTCCCCAAATGTCCTCCCACCTCATGTTTTAGAATTCAACTGAGGACTGTTTTGAGTTTCAAAATATCAACGTGAGCTGGGAGGAAGGTCAGAGACTGGGATGGGGGGGGGGGGATGAATCAAATGGAAATGTTGAGCCAATTCTGAGTCTAAACAGCAGAGCAATAACAATTAGCTTCTTGTTCCCAAGTCTGATGAAATTACATGTTTTTCTTGCTGAAAATAAACTTCATTAAAGTGTATGGTAAAAGGATGACCTTGGAGTTTTGTTTGAAATGGTTTGACAACTTGAACCTTAACAATAGAAAAGGAGAGAGGAGCTCTGCCAAAACAACCAGAAAGGTCACTGGCCTGATCCAGGCACAGCTATCTGAAATCTCTGAGAGGCCTGTGTTCACTGTGCTGCACTAGCTACACCCTTAGATGGTAGTTTAAACTGGTGTGTCTGGATGCCACCCAAGAGTGCCTAAACATAGCTGAGAATCATATCTTCCCTCTGCAATTAGTTCAGTTTGCTCATGAAATGATGCTTCCTCTTGTGGATGCTAATATGTCAGATTTTGCCCTGAGAAACAAGTGTAGTTTTGCCCTTTATTAAGCTACTGGTTCCCTCTTTTCTCCCGCATACTCAAGTTTGAAAGGTTTATGATGTTTGTATCAAGTCAGGCACAAGCGGCACAGAGCATATTCAGGGTTTTAATTGGCTAGACTTCAATGTCTATGGGAGACAAGGGATTTTAAGGTGTGTGTGGTCGCATTTGACAGAAGCAGATAGGACAAAATAATGCTGTTCATTCTTACCTTCTGTAAAACTGAAGTTGAAATAAGAAACTGAGCTATAGCTATGTACCCTGGTATTACATTAAAGAGTATAACAGTAAAGAGGATGATATTAACATTAGCTTTGGATATTTTATCAGTATAACTAGCAAAATTACTTTGCCCTGTGTTCTGTAAAACAGACAGAACTAATTTCAATCACATACATTAAGTTATGAATATGTGTTGCTCCTGACCAATTATTAGTTAGTTAGAGACCTTTGTTTAAGAAAGAGCATGCACAGTGTAAAAGCTTAGACAGACAAAATCGATTAAAACACACATTTTACATACAAAATAGACAAATTAGATCCACATGAAACCAAATTAACTGAGCGAAAACAGATGAATAATTCGTATTTAATAATTCCTTCTCAGCTAGTGGGATGATAAATCTTCCTTTTATTTCCATTGCTCAGCTGCCTGTGTGCATTATGTGCAACTGTGGGTATATTATATAATGAATAATAATATAAGTTAATTCCATTCTGTATGTATGGTACATTGCCAGCAGATGGAGTTATCTGTGGTTGGTGGATAAATATGCCATGGTTTTCGAGTGGCTCAATCTTATCTTCAGTCAAGTAATGTCATCAGAGTTCAAGTGCAACACATCCTTCATTTGAAATGGTTTTATAGTGAGGCCTTTGTAAAGATTCACATTAAGGGTTTGGCCATTAGGACTCATGAAGACAGGAGAAATTTCTCCAGAAGATGGTGTATTCATCTCTGCAAGTTAAACTGACAACCAGTAGGACTACTTCAGACAGATTTCATCACTGAGGCTTTTTCACAGATTTTCTCCCAGAAAATGAAATGAAACTCGACTATTCTTGTATGCATGACAACTTCCAGTGTCCTGGGGCAGCTCTCTGAGGCTCTTGCAGATCACATGGAGCAAGAAGCTCAATTACTCAGCTGTGAGATAAAACACTTTACTTGCTGATGCCATTGCGCTCTGGATCAGACCTGAACTTATTATTCAACTGAAAAAAATAGAACTGTTGATCATAATTAAACGCAAACTCTTCTCTCTTTTTTTCCTATTTGTATGTATGTGTACATTTGCACTTTCACACGTATAAATGAAAATGGATTTTGTGCATATGAATAAAATGTAAAAGTCATACGATTTAATGGCCTAATAGGTATTAATAAATTATCTTTCAAGACACAACATGTATGAATATTCCACATATTCTGATATACAGTACTATGGGAAATATACATGACATACATTACATGACACTGACTCTACATTGTACAGAATAGTTGCTGTAATTACAACCTGTAAGGTTAAACATTTGTCAATAAGGAGATTCTTGTGTGTGTCATATTCCCTATAAAACAAGGTGTCTGCATGAACGATGGCCCACGATAGCAGGGCCAACATTATCATGTGCCAATACATACCGACAGAGCCAGAGAATTAACTGCATAATTCATGTAATTGCAGCAAGCATGAAGCACTACTGAATATAATCAGAAGCAGGAAGTTACTCCATAGGGTAGGAAGTCAATCATCTATGTGAATATTAAGATATTTTCAGATCCACCAAGTTTAACTTGCAGCACCCAGGCGGGACAGGTAACTGTCATTGTTATGCAAATGAGCCACAAATGGAACATTGCTATAAAATGAACTGAAGGATGACAAAATCTTTATAGCCAAAGTAAACAAACAGTGCTGCTAAAATTGTTGTTCACACTTGGAGTGTGCAACAGGATGAGCATAGTAAAGTGTTTGTAAGGAGGAGTTCCAAATTTGGTCAACAGATGGTGGCAGAAGGCTGAAGATAACACACACACACACACACACACACACATACACACACACACATACACACACACGCACATTGCAACACAAACAGAATGCGAGGTGCAGTATGTTGCAGAAGTGGTTCATTGTTACGTAAATAAAAGTATACATGTCTGCTGCTTCAGATTCTGACAATGTGTTGTAAACAGTGAGTTTACAGAAAATAATAGCTATTTAAAAAAAAGCATTGCTGATTCAGCCATATCTGTTGAGGTATCCTTCAGATTTGGTTCAGTCCCGCTCATTAGGAAGCACAATGTGACAACTCAGTCATGAAGCAAGTTGGTGACTTGGAGCAACATCATCCATCATGATATAATGACCATGAATAATGATCCTAATCTTCAAAGCAGCAGGTTCCACTGGCTGCTGAATTCACATTTGCTCAGACGTGACACTGCTGTGCCACAGAATAAAAACTTATGTGTCATAATGCAGCTGTTCAGAGATGTGCATTATCATCTTAGCTGCCACAACAGGTTTCGTTACATAATGAATCAAATAAACACAATTAGGCAAACATTGGAAAGAAAGAAATTGCGAGCATGAAAGTAATAATACCATGGCACATATTTAAATGATATCAGAAACTATGGGCAGCATTTTTTATGCTTTTAAAAAGAACAAACAATTATGGTGGGTATTTTCTGAATTATCTACCTCTGTGCCACTTGAAAATAACTGTGATAAAAGTCAATATTAATCTCCAACTGTAATGCTGGAAAGGATAATAAAAAAGTGATTATAGCTCTCGATGTTATTAATGTGTGAGAAAATTATTTCAACAACAAAACTGTTTGTTGCCAGGAAGTTCAAGGACTGAAATGCTTTATTTTTTTCTTCCATTATCTTTGAATGACTTCACATTTTCTTTTACATAATACTCTTTTCATTTTGGCCCATTTATTTTCTTTTCCATTACTGCATCACAAAGCCTGACTCTGAGAGTGTGACGTACAAATTACATGCATGCCTTTTCTTTCCAGCAAATGTTTGTGTCTGTTCATTATCTGCAGCAGCACACTGCTGCAACAGCAGTGGAGGCTTGACTGACTGTGACAGTCATGTATGGCCTTGGACAGCTGTTGTTGTAAGGCGCATTCAAACCAGCAGGTGGCTCTGTCTCCTCCTTTGTAGGGAAGAAAGATCCACTATAGGATCCACATCACACCACTTCCTATGAGATTCCTTCATGTGAGACCTTTTAGACATGTAGTGATATCTGCTAAAGTAGATGGTGTGGATGTTGGGGAGGATGCTGGCCTAAAACAAAAAAAGTGTATGTGTTCTCTGTATTAAATTCTTTACATCACTATTTACATTTTTTTTTCTTTGGGTTGCTTGAAGTAGAATTTTACAAATGGCTTTTCTTCCTTCTCTCAACGCCTAATACAAATGTGTGTTTGTGTAAGATAGGGCCACAGAAGATAAATAGTGCGAAATGTGGTTTTGAATCTGACACACTCACACATCAACAATATTGTGTTCTATCATATAAAACTGTAAATAAACATAGTGTTTTTGGATTTCTAACTTACTGCGCGTCCACGTGCGCGTGCATGTATGTGTGAAAGTGTGGGCCTATACGGGAAACGTTAGCTTTTGGGGGGGCGGGAGGGGTGATTCAAACGACACAATAGCAACTAACGATAAAATTCATTCCTAATGCAACTGTAGCATCTACTGTTGTATCGTTCAGCGGCCCATTTTTTTTTATTATTTCTTTTTGTGGTTGCATAACTGTCAGGTAGGTTATTATAATGATGTGCACGTTGCGATTCTCTCCCCCTCCACCAAATCCAATCACACCCTCCCCCATCTCAAGTACAATTACGTGATGGGTGACGTTTCAGCATGCGGAGGAGGGCGCTGGGCAGGGACCACTTGGACCAAAGAGGACTAAACGCTATTTCATTTCAGCGCAGAAACAACGCATTCAAGGCAGTGGACCAGGGCGCCTCGCTGAAGCCTAGCCCATTGTCTCCTTCAAACTGAGCAACTAAGGAAAACGGGTTTGACCAAAACAGCGGTGTAGCCCATAAAGGAGTGTCCAAGTGGTAGGCATTGCGGGTTTGTAAGCCACAGAAAAAAAAGGGGCCCTGGACAGATCTGGCCAATAACGGAAAATGAATCACAGTCAAGTTTTAATAATATGAACACGAGCCGCGTTTTGTTGCAATTGGCGACCAACTATTGATGCTTCTGCGCCGATCGTTTTCCAGACCATCAGTTCGCGCGGACTTCTTTTGTTCGCATCGCTTGAATCCCAAATTCTAGTCTGCATATTTGTGCTGCCGTTGTAGAAGAGTTAGTCGCTCCAAAAAAAAAAAAAAAAAAAAAAACCCAAGATGAATTTCCAGTCGAGCGTCCCAGTGTCCGGTATCTCGCAGCAGTCTCAGCCAGCCATGCCCACTCCAGGCACGGTCCCGGCGCCAGTTCCCGTCCCAGTGCCCCAGTCCATCCCGTCCCAGTTCGGATCCGGATCGTCTGCAAGCTCAGGGGCTGGCCAGTTCGGTTCGGGGACTGTTTCGGGCCAGGCTGCCCAACCCGGCCCAGCGGGCTCGCAGTTTGTTTTGTCCAACTCAGCGGCCATCAGAGCAGAGATCCATCGGTTCGAGTCTGTCCACCCGAACATTTACGCAATCTACGACCTGATCGAGCGCATTGATGACCTGGCCCTGCAGAACCAGATCCGAGAGCATGTAATCTCCATCGAAGGTGAGTAGGTGGGGGTGGGGGGTGGGGGGAGATCATACTGGGTTTTCACTATGGTGTGGTGCCTTTCATTCATTGAGGATTGGGGGGGGGGGGGGGGGGGGGGGGTGTCGGGGGGTCTCCTTTTCCTTCCTTTTATATACACTTGGTAACCTTGTCATGGGCTCATAGCACAGTGTCAACAATCACACTTTGAGGTTGGGGGCGTAGCCGATCTCAGAGTCCTGTTCACGGTTTGAATTGCCCTCATACACTGCAGTATTAACAACGAAATGTTCAATTGCAGTCACAAGAGGCAGCCTGGGCAGTTGTAGGCTAATTAGCTCCCCAAAAACTGATTCTGCTGCTTAAAGCCATCTGCTGGAGGAGGCATTGTTTTCAATCTCATCCACTACAATCTGACCTCCATTGAGTTTCTGAGATTTTTTTGTTTTATTTATTGTTATTTTGAAACCATGTCAGTGAAACAGAGGCTGCCAAAATTAAAATCACGTGTTACATGGAAGTAGAGATTGCCCTGAACATTGCAGAGGCACACAGTGGTTACACAGGGAGCAGGAGCGAGGAAATAATGATGTAGGCTACCACTAGAGATGGCATGATGGACATCATTTGGTTTGTTATAAAAGCCAGTCAAGCGGGCCCATTCTTTTGTCACTCTGGAAATCAAGTCGAAATGTCATTACCTTGTCCAAGGAAGGATGACAGTGACTGTAAACCAGACCACACCACCAGTGTGAGCGGAAAGCTGCAGCCGCCTGTCAAATTCAAGTGAGGATGATGCACTGACAGATGCGAGTGTCTTAAATTGTGGTAGTGGTTTCTCATGTTTTTCTCTCTGCTACTCACCCACCCATGTATCCAATCAGTGGCTGCAGTCGGGGTACAGCCCATCAAAATCAGCTGTCATGGGTCTTGAGGAGTATTATAGCAACTGTCTAGACATACACATTTCCACCACTAGTTCCAATACTAGCTATGATAGCGTTATCTCCATGTAGATATATTTCTTAGAACAACTCAAGGTGCAGGTCATCTTGAACTCAGCCATTAATAACATTACATGTGCATTTGTTTTGTTATGTTTCTAGAATCTGAGAAAGAAAATGGAAAATCATTGAGGGCAGCTTGACTGCTGTGTAATGGACAGCACAATTAGAGCAATTTGTCATTTTAACAAAGATGCATTCAAGAACAACAGTTCCCATGTAGCTTTTACAGCATGCCAGTGGCAAAGATTCATGGGAAATGTTGTTGAATGCTACCTGAATAGTCGCTTAATGCAACTTTAAGGGAGGATTTTGGCATGTGAATCAAGGATGCAATGCTTTATTAAATGTAGATTGGTAATGCCAGTATTTCAAGGTTATCAACAGACCTAAGGAACATTAGTGAGGATCTTTACAATATTTCCTCTGTATAGATAAAAAAAGAAAAAATGAACAGCACATGCAATACTTTAGGATTTATTGTGTTACCTGTCAAAAACACAGTAACAGATAACAGATCTGGTCCTTTAGCTTTTGTATGACGGGATCAGCGTTATACTGTGTGATGGGTTCAGACGGATCTGAATGAAAATGAAAGTCATCCACATGTGAAAATAAACATTCAACATGTGGGCCTGTTGTGTCTCAGTTCAACCTTTTGAGGATAGAATTTCTTTTCTGATGCCTTAGGTTGGTTGCATAATTTACTCAGTGAAGCTTTTATTCTGTGTCTTGATAGGACAACACTGGAGCCTTTTATGAGTTATCTCTTAGATGTACCTTTTGGAAACAGAAAGGTTATTGCTCGCTCCATTCACAAATCAGGTTTGATACAAACCTTTGATTTCTTCTTCCTAAAAAAATTAGCAAATACTTTACCCAAAGTCAGCGTTCTTCCACTGCAGGGTCTCCTACATTTGGAAAGCATTGTAAGAGTAATTTTGTGGTGTTGAACTTTACTCTTATTGTGGATTCATTCTGCCTCAAGCTGGTGAGTCTTCTTCAGTTAGAGGATTTCTGCATTTCCCAGCAGGCCCTTTAACAACCCTCAGAAAAAAAAGCGCACACGAAGAGCTTTAAATTTAAGATAGTATGTTAACATTAAAACATGTAGGTAGCTAGCCAACAGATTCTTGAGTTGTCATGTCTGAAGGCCGCTAGACCTTTTTACTGCACTCAAAAGATGGCATGTGGGCAACATTATTCACATCATTGTTCACTGCAGCTTCTGTCGGTACAGGAACTGGTCTCTCTGTGACATCTTCCACTGTTTTTTTTTTTTTGTTGTTCTTGTGTGATTGCTGAACATAAGCAAAAGATCAGAAATATATCTTTACTCTCTGATTCCAAAGTGCTGTGTGCCAAAGCTGAGAAATCTCCCAGTAGAATGTCACATCGTCTGTGTTTGGCCAGGTAGCCTTGGGAATAAAAACAAATTGATGTTGTGGCATTATGTCCACACCTGCAGGCTTATACGAAATGTTAAACTGGGAAGATATTTAACCCCAAAGGAAAAAATCCACTAGCAAACAACAAAACAGGCTCAGAAATGCAAGGCACACACTAACTGTTATCCAACCGTGGGTCGATTTAGCACATTGGTGACATGTATAGGCTGGAATTTGTATTTTAAGCGCATGGATTGATATTTCTAAGCATATGCTGTATGTCGAAAGGCATGACAGATTTTGATATCCTTTTCGCAGAAACACTGCCTCAGCTTTGTGCTACATTTTGGTGCTTTGTGCCGTTAAATGAGATGCAGTTTCCTTAATAACTGTAACTTCAAGAGGCTTTGAAGGGCTGCAACAGGAGACATTGGCCAACTTGTCTTCACCTGCACTGTGGAACTGCAGATCTGTTCCTCCTCAATCTTGCACCATTGCAGAGTCTGTTGCTAAGGAACCAGTAGCTCGTGCATTTAGCTGAAAATGCTGAAGAAAGAGTGAATAGAAATTAAAACCTTTACAAAATGAATTCCCTTCGTTACAAAGGTCTCACTGGTGTTTTGTCGAATAACAAGACCTTTACATGATGATGACATACCATGCTGGTTTTTGTTGTTTTTTTGTTTTTTTTTAGTTTTTTTGCCTCACATCGTTCCTTTTGCTGCAATTGATATTCAGGCTGCTGTTTGGTTTCTGTGAGCTGACTCGTATTACAATTACAGATAACATGTAAGAACAAGTGATGGCTTGTTTTTCTCTTTTGTATTTTCCTAAATAATGTTTGTGAATACAAGACAACGGATGCCTTCGTCTAAATTAAATAAGCTCTGATAATGATCGGGCCAGGAAATGTGTAAGCAAAAGGACAGGGGCAAAATATGAGAAGTGGTTGGCAAGAGTTGAAGATACTTCACTACTAATCCAAAAAACTGGGATAAGCATCTCTGTGTGAGGTGGCCTCAGGTAAGATATTTATTGCTGGGCCCCTGTTGCCCCCAATTTCCCTTCAAGTACAGGGCACACAGCACACTATAGATGGCAGATTGATTAAGTTTTACACACAGACTCAGACACCTAGCAGTCCCCCCCTACCTGGCCCCAGATTTTCTGTATATTAGTTAGTTTGTAGTAATTTGATGACACTAAACTTAATGTAGGGAAATACACTATGTGAGAATAGTGTGAATTGACATAATAAAGGTGTATGAACTAGAGTCTGGGCCACAAGATAATATGATAATGCAGGGCACAGTTGTATTTAAGTTTTGCAAAGTCTCTGACAAATTTGCTAGTAATGGATTTACCAAAAAGCAGCTGACACACGGTAAAGTTGAGACTTTGGTTGGCCACTTTACCTGGCTGGTAAAACATGCCTTGTGGATAAGTTCCCAAATGTCTATGACCTATGACCTGAATGACTGAGAACCGTCTTTGACATAAATGCTAAAATGACTCTAAAATTCTGCTGTGGTGCTGTGGTGATAAAGCAATGCTTTATCAGTCTGGCTAAAGTGAGAGGTGTAATTTCATGGACAGTGATTTGGCCTAATCCATAAGTGGCTGTGCAGGTTAAACTTTAGTCTTTAGTCTGGGAATATATCTAGGACAAGGCTTCATCTCCACATGAGCAACTAGCTCATAGATACTCTTTGTAACTTTGTCCCATGATGGAAGAGGCAGGACAGGACCGGACGGACAGGAAGAGGATCAGCAGGCTGATTTTTTGAGACTTGTCGAACAGACTGACCAACAAATTGGCTTATGCTAATGATTTGATCCTGCTAAAAATAATAAAGAGCAAATATTTTCACAGTGTCTACAAAGCAAGTCAGGACAGAACTGATCACAATTTGGATAACTGATTTATTGTGTGAAATAAGGATGGAAAAAAATGTGAACCATTAAATTAAGAAAAAAAAAGGAGTGTAATTATCTGCAATCTGATAAAAACCAAAATGTTGTTGGTCTGCCTGGAAACATGTATAATTAGTGGTAGCTCCATCGTCCTCACTGACAGCCAAACCTCTCCCTTGATATTCCAGTGCTAATCATCGCTACATTACACAGTCCAGCCCTCTTGCCAGTGGCCATCTTAAAGCTTCACTGTGAAGTAACATTGATGATGCAGCAGAAAAAGTGAAGTTTGTTGCGGATGAATGTTGAGAAGTCAGCCAAGAAAAACAGATCTAACTGAGGAGGGCACCACGGCAGGTTAAACCTCCTGTATGCATTTGAATCACAGATTGGTTCAAAGGGAGAAAAAAGAAATAAATAGCAATAGAAGGGTAAGACAGATATTGCACAATATGCACTGTGCATGGTTGGATAAAATAGTTTCCAACCTTTCATATGTAGGCATAATTATGAGGAATTTCATACTACATAGTTAAAAGATATCCTTACTTACACCGATCTAGTTCAGATATCCAACTAATGAGTATCCAACAGTCATCTGCCAAGACACTGGATACCATGCCCTTACTGCTTGAATAATTGTTTGAAATAGCATATGATTTCCGTTATATTTTTAGCCATTCATTTCAAAGTGGAGGAGCGTTCCATTAAC